ATCATTAGATCAAAAGTTATTGAGGTATTTCGGCTTGAGGCGGTAGATTGGTATTGAGGCGGGCTTTTACTTCTATTTTTTTGCACATTTTACTGCCCTAAAGAGAGTAAATGCTATTGTTTTACATACCTTTGATAATTCTCTTTGTTGCACTGCATATTGTCCTCGAGATATTAGAAACTTTAAAAACAATCTACAAGCAACACAAATGTTTCATTACCAGGATTTATTTTTAAAGAACAATATAATTCAAACATAATGTATTATTACTATAAGTATTTATAATTGGATCAAAGTTAAAAAATGGTTATATCATGGTCGAAGTCCTTGACAGCAAAATTAAAATTGTATCGTGTTGATGAAGCTTAATAATAAATATTGTAAACTTCTGGTGCAATATTTTTCTGGGAAATTTAAAGTGGTAGTCCATTTTTTGCTCTAGCATTTTATTATCGATTAAATAAATTTGGCTTGTAATGATTTTGATGACAACTATACATAAATTCAAACAAATATATAAGACCAGGTAAGAGTACAGTGAAATTTGTAAATTCGAGCGTAATTATACAGGTTATAAACTTAATGTTTCTTTCTATATCTATAGTTTATATTAACGTGAACTTTCGCGCATTTTGTGTGAAAGTTTATATTTATATAAACCACGGATAAATATTTTGGAGTGATGGTCTTTTGATGAATGATTCTTAATTTAATAAATTTGATTCATAGGGTTTTTATTAACCACTATTTCTAAATAATTCTAAGACTTACGGGATGCGGTCACCGTTACATAGCTGCCAACTTGTACAGCCCTTGAAAAATAATTTTCTTAGCGGAAGCAACATTAGCGTTTTGTCGTTATATCTCGAAGTTGAAAGTTGCAAAGATTTTTCAAATTAACACGATAAATCAATAATTTAAAAAAATTTGTAGATGAAATCTATTTGTTGGCTAATTATGCTTACAGATGTGTTAATGGTTGTGTTTTAAGAAAATTCTTCCTAACATAATTGTCGTTCTACAACCACTTAATAAATCTTCTTCAACTACCGCAGAAGTTGGCAGGTAAGCAGAGATGCCAACTTGCTCCGCTTTGTAACAAAACAATTTTCTAGTAGTGACGAAATTTAAGTTATTTTTTGTTTAGTATTTCTTATTTCAGGTAATTTCTTCACCAGTACACATCAAAAATTCAAAGTATCATATGAAATGCATTTTTATTGCAGACATCTCGCGGTGTCACTTTTAAAGAGTGACAGTAATTATCCGTACTCTGCCAACGCCTCCTATAACTGAAAGCCTCCTCACGGTTTTTATAGGTAGTCCGATCAGACCACTGTGGAGGATATCCACTTACCGAACGAGTCATTTAATACAGAATATAGTTAAAATAAGAAAGTGGTAGCAAATATATGACTGAAAATTTATTTTATTTATGAATATTATTGATTTGCTTTATTCACTTGTCAACCACTACAGATTCAATTCTCAAATATATAAGATAAATTTCTCTCAATTACTTTTATAAAAGGTTTTGGATTCATGCGCACAACTGGTTCATTTTTTAAATAGTCTGTGCGGAGTACTTATAAAAGACCGTGTGGAGGCTTCTTGATGTAGGAGGTGATGACTCTGCACGTTTTACTATTTAATTCACTACCAATTTATTAAAACTTTTTCAGAAAATGGAGCAGTTGGCATCCCTGAGTATGCCATAGCATCTTATAGTTTATTGTTAATCAAATTTATTGAATCAAAAACAAAATGATTGAAGTTGCAACCCCTTTATATATTCATAGAAAATAGTACATAAAAAATAACGCGAATTATTATTAGAATTGCAGAAACAATATATATATATATATATGTTACAAGAATGGATTTTTCGTCTTGCCATTTTTATGTTCTTTTAAATTTTTGTAATATTTTCTCAAGGTACTTAGATAGTTTATGCAATTTCAGCTTAAACTTACTTGTTTGGAAAACCCAATGAAAGGCTCAAAGATGAGAGCTTTTCTTCAAAACTTTTTTTCTTATTCGAAACTTTTTCAGGCTTCCCAACTAAACTCTGTCAATAAGAGAATGAAAAAAATATTTAATTTCTCTTTTTACAATCTCAAATTCTTAAAAACAAATTAAAAGCTAAATTTATCGAGAATTATATGAAAAAAAAACTTACTTTTGCTATTACTTTATGTGTATAAATAAAACCTAATGGCAAAACCGAGCTGGAAATTTTGCATTCATCTTAGATTTCCTTTAAGAAGTTCTAAGTGGTAAGAAATATTATTTCAAGATTTTAAGGGTTGCCTTCGTGTCTCCGAATTCTATTACCAAGATTTGGGGACTTTTTAAGCCCCCTTTAACTTAACAGTATCCAATATATATCAGCGAATGAAAAATCATATCATAAATAATCTCTCGTTTCGGACTTTTACCAGAAAGCATTGGTAACTCCTAGGTTTTATAGCAAAAGCTTGATAAAAATCCTAAATATAAATCCATTTAGAACTTCTACCAAGCAACTTTGGAAGATCTGAGGTTTTACCAGTAAGATATAAGATTTACTAAACTTAAGACTTTTATAGTAGCATATACACAAATGGCTCCTAGTGGTCAAAATTATTTTAAAGATGGCAAAATTTTTATCATAAAATGCGTTTCTTCTTTTAACAAGTTTGTCATAAAACACTCTTGATTAGCACTGTAATCCTTTAAATTAAAATGCTGATTAAAAATTCTACATCAACAAAGCTAAATATATTTAAATTTAAGTGATTGCTAAATCAGGAATACTTACGTTTGCTTAAATGAGTATTTGCCTTAGTCAAAATTTTTTATAGTTTTCCATTAATAGGCCAACATAATTATGATGGCAACCATCTAGTGTCTCCATCATAAGCCACCGTATTTTAATATTGTAACCAACATAAATAACCATCATTACTACTACTTCAATATTTTAATGAACCATTGGTGCATTGGAATGACCTAAAAATCTGAACCTATGCACATAAAAATATTATATATTCAGAGCTCCTTCGGGTCTAGTAGTGGTAGGAAATTTGCGTTAATGTAAGTAGTATTTTTATAACTTCTTCGAACCCAAGGTATATATTAGGATACATAGCCAAATACAGGATACCCACAACCAAGTCTTGAGAAAATTAAAGAATGGTGAAGAACTTTCCTCAAAACTGTTTGAAATTTCCTGAAGTTAACTTCTATTTTTTGATAAAATCAATTTTAAAGTTTTCACACAACGATAAAAGAAATTTTTTAAAAAAATCACTGATATCACTACTTAAAGGAACTCATATTTTTTTAAATGTACTTACAGCTTTAAAACAATTTTAGGCAGTGCTTGGGGCATGCCATATCAAGGCAGAAGTGGTTAAGATAGCACTTTAACCGATACAGCTACGAATGGACTATGTTCAGTTATCTAAACTAGTGCAAAAATAACTCGAATGAAAATTTTCTTACCTTCAAATTGAACAAAAAGCGTTATGAACGGACGTTGTCCAAAAACACTAAAATAATTTTGCAATCAGTTCTCTTTTAAGGGTAAATAACAACAGCAGTTAACTTGTATAAAGTGTATAAAATTTAATCTTAAATTACTTAAATATTATTATCTTCCATAATTATATATATATTTATATATTAATGCCCGCCTGGTGAATGACCTTTCGTCATACAGGCATCTGAAGGGCATATTTGTTGACCACTCTTTCATGACAACTGCAACTTGCAATAAATAAAATTTTACAATGGGCTGAGCTAAATGGTTTTACTTTTTTACCCTCCAAAACATCATGTATTCATTTCTGCCGAAAACGCGGAATTCATCCTGAACCGGAGCTTTTCATAAATAACACTCTCATTCCTGTAGTTGAAGAAGCAAAATTTCTAGGTCTAACTCTGGATTCTAAATTGACATTTTCAGCTCACATTCAAAAACTACGAAAATCCTGTTTTGCAAAATTAAATATTCTAAAAGTACTGACAAATACATCATGGGGGGCAGATACTCAATCAATGCTTAAAATGTATCATGCTTTAATCAGATCTAAACTTGACTATGGGGCCATTGTTTATGGATCTGCTAGAAGGTCCGTTTTAAGATATCTAGATATTATTCATCATCAGGGACTAAGAATTGCCACGGGTGCATTTCGTACATCACCTAATAATAGCCTATATACATTGCACAACGAACCTTCACTTGATTCAATGCGAAATAAACTGTCTCTTAACTTTTACTTTCATACTAAATGCCATCCTTCACATCCATTATGCTCTCATATTTTAACACCATCATGTACTACACATTTTAACAACAGACCTGCCTTAATTCCTACTTTTGGATTGAGGATGAAGAAACTCTTAACTAGTTTGAATTTAGAAGATTTTCATGTATTAGAAACTGCTGAACTGATTCCGTTTTGGAACAAAGCACGTGTCCAAATTGTTGACATTTTCGATGGCAGGTTAACAAAGGATAATACATCTCCAGCTATATTCCGACAGTTATTTTATGCTCAAATACAAAATTTTAACAACTTTAACGTGTTGTATACGGATGGTTCAAATTTTAATCACCATGTTGCTAGTGCAGTTGTGTGCAATACAGAGGTAATATCCGAGAAACNAGTTGAACTTTTAACCTAGTTTTAGGCGCGGTATAGCCAAATCATGGCTCTTGCGCCAAAAATTCACATCACTCACTCACTCACTCATGAGCACCATGTTAGGTAAGCCAACGTTGCTCCCACTGTAAAGATAGATAGTACAGGAATAGATAGTATAGAATGAAAGAACATCCATGCCTTGCCCGGGATTCACCCCCAGAACGTCTCTGATGCAAGTTCTGATGCCGGTTGGTCCATAATTATATATTATTTATCCCATTAAATACTACTTGTTAAGAAATTGACTTACCTTCAACAGGTTAATCAAAGAATTGCGGTCTTCTCTCCATGGCTTTGTTCGCATATCAAACTGAAAAAACAAAATTAATTAAAAAATTTCATGGTCACAAATTCAAAAAAAAGTTTTTTTTTATTCTTTTCATTCATGTTTTTCATGTCATGAAACATTCAAGTTTTTACTTTTCGTTTTTTGTTTTTCTTTCTGAAATATCAAAGAATAACAGAAAAACAAACACCTGATTCTTCAAATTTCATCCGACGCCTCATATTACAATCATCAAAATAAATAATAGCCTCAACAAATTTCATAATCACAGATTCAACTACAACAATATTGAAAGATCTATCAAGCGTTTCCCCACGCAGAGCAGCAACCTGCTTCCAGTTCTATAGCCACACATAGTTTAAAGCAAGCTGCTTTGTTTCATTTTCATTATTTTTATGTATTCAAGCAAGTTGCTTGAGTCCCCCTCATAGCTACAACACTGTCTGTTGACCACAAAGAACTCACACAATGCTACGCAATACCACAATGAGTCAATAATTTAAAAAAATTTTGTAGATAAGATATATTTGTTGCCTAATTATGCTTATAGATGTCTTTATAATTTTGTTTTTAGAAAATTCCTCCAAACTTTATTTTTTTCTGACTACCACTACGTAAAAGATTTTTCAACGAATAAGTTGGTAGACATGCAGAATTGCAGACTTGCTTTTCTTAGTAAGAAAAAAAAATTTGATTGGTGAAGAAATTTAAATCGTTTTTAGTTCAGTATTTCTAATTTTAAGTAATTTTTCTACCACTACATATCAAAAATTCGAAGTATCATGTAAAATGCAACTTTAATGCAGTCACATACCTGACAACTTTTAATCCTTTCAAGGATGATCTTTTCCAGTGGTAGTAAAATAAAATTTAAATTGCAATTTTACACAGAAACATTCGCTGTATTTTGAACAAACTTATGTGACATTTTGCAA